TCTGTAGATGCAGGAGGTGCTGAGAGAGACTGGAAACTCTACAGAAATAAAAAATGATCAGCTACACACTTCACCCAATAACCTGCACCAACATCAGATTTGACTTGACTTGACTGATCTTTAGTATTTCACCTCAATCCAGCACTTTCACTGCATCAGCTTCATTCTTCTCATATTCATTAAATCACATTAGAGCTACAGGCTCTAGTATTTGCCGCTTACACTATATGTGAACTTTCTAGACAATCCTTTGGATGATGAAACATCTGCTAAGAATATAAATGTCCATCTAACAGCTCAAGCACATCAATGGCGTCTCACTGAAGAGTTGAGTTGATTTGCTCAGCAAAAGTAGCTCAAAGGCTATGAGTGTACAGACCATTATTTATAACTTTGGAGCTGTTAGTGACACTGAAAATTCACAAGGACCCTTAAGACACGGTCAGGTTTTGTTTGGTTTCAAATCAGAAAGAAATATTAGTTAAAAAGGTGAAATGTTAGTGAAGTTTTGTCACATTCTGCTCTCATGAACTGTTTCTCTGTGAGTCTCTGTCACAGCAGGATCTGCTCAAGTCAACTATGATCCTGTTCTTCTAGATCTGTGTTACCTGCAGGAACTGGATGTGATCCTGTGTGTGTGAAAGCTGCTCCAGCTCAGCGTCTCTCCTCCTCAGATCATTGATCTCCTGCTCCAGTCGCTCCAGTCGTCCTTCAGCTCGACTCACTGCAGTCTTTTCCTGATCTCTGATCAGCCGTATCAGCTCAGAGCGGCTTCTCTCAATGGAGCGGATGAGCTCAGTAAAGATCCTCTCACTGTCCTCCACTGCTGTCTGTGCAGAGCGCTGTTAGGACACACAGTGATTCAGGCTTCAGTGAGTCTGAACTGAGACGGAGACAAACTTCTCTTCTTCTCCAGACTCACCTTATGAGACTCCACAGCCTCTCTCAGCTGCTGAAGATCTTTCTCTCTCTGCTGGATTCTCTGCTGGAACGTCTCCTGTGTCTCCTTCAGCTGCTTCTGCAGGACAAACAAATGATAGTAAATCTCACATAAAGCTACTGGCACTAAATCATTATGTTAACAGATGAATTATGTAAAAGTGGAACTGATAACTAATGGCTGTAGGTTCAAACTCTAGAAGGGATGATTGATCATTTACCACCATTGTACATAAATTAATATAAAGATTCAGACCTGTTTCACACTACAAGTGTGAGTAGTATATTAAAGAGAAACTGACACAGATGTAGAGCTTCAAACTGAAATTGTTTCTGCATCATTAATCTGTGGCTCTACACAGAAAATAAATGGACTATTGGATCACTACACTGAGTATTAACTTTACTGATAGTTTTATATACCTGTTTCTCTATCCTCTGTGCTGCAGCTGATACAGTGTTGTGGTTTTTATGTTCATATTTTGTACACAGCTTACAAATGCATTGTTGGTCAGTCATGCAGTACATTTCCAGATGTTTCTCATGTTTCTGGCAGATCATCTCCTGCAGTCCAGTGGCATCGATCACTTTGTGTGGCTTATGTGAATGAAGTTCCTCATGACGGTCAAAATGAGTTTGACAGTAAGATTCCTGACACACCAGACAGGACTTGACGGCTTTGTATTTTCTTCCAGTACAGACGTCACACTGCACATCTCCAGCTCCAGCGTAACAGTCTGCAGGTAGTTTGGTCTTCTTCAGTTTCTCCACCAGATCAGTCAGCATGGTGTTTCTAGCTAAAGTAGGTCTTGGACTGAAGGTCTGTCTGCACTGAGGGCAGCTGTAGACTCTCATCTGATCCTCCTGATCCCAGCAGCCTGTAATACAGCTCTTACAGTAACTGTGTCCAAATTGGATTGTCACTGGATCCTTCAGGAGATCCAGACACACCAGACACAAGAACTCATCCTGAGAAAATCTGGCTTCTGCCATTTCACTGCATGAATACAGAAACATAAACACAACAGCTCAACTACATTTTCACTTCCTTTTTTCCCTTAACCCTCAAGTTGTGTTCGGGTCATTTTGACCCGGAGAGAATATTCTTTCTCCCGAAAATGTTACTTAATGTTATCGCATTGGACTAAGATTTACTGACTTTGTTCACACAAGGCATTATTACTTCCACCGCAAAAATTGTTAACTTTCGTTAAACATGTTTTATGTTATTCGACCTTGTTACACTTGTGGTTTTTCAAAAAATAGCTTATAAATCTCTTGATATGCAATATTATCACCTAATATTGGTATCAATCTTTTTGTCAGCTTGTTTTCTTTCAATTAGGACTGGCTTTGTGTTTATTTTTGGAACTGATTTATCGTAGGCCTTATTAATCTGAGCTTGCGTGCATCAGTTTTTGAGTGAAAAAAACATTATTTGTGGATAATTTTGTCAATATTAAATAAAATATGAAAATTATTTGCACTGTTTATCACACTAGCATCCTCTAATGTTTAACCAAGAAATTTGTTTTGAAAAGCTTTTATTTTGTACAAAATTAAAAAACAAATTTGCAAAAAAATCACACTTGTGGTGTTCCCGGACAAAAATGACCAGCCTACACAAAATAGCTTATAAATCTCGTATGCTGCTATATTATCACCTAATATTAGTATCAATCTTTTTGTCAACTTGTTTTCTAATTGAAAGAAAACAAGCTGACAAAAATATTGAGCCTCATCAAAAAGCCTCATTAATCTGAGCTTACGTACCTCAGTTTTTGAGTGAAAAAAGCATTATTGTTGCCCTTCTACGTCCCTGCCCAGCTCTCCTCATGTAACGGCCTGTCTCCTGGTATCTCCTGAAACTGTGCTGGGAGACACAACAAACTTCCTCATGATGGCATGTATGGATGTGCCGTCCTGGAGGAGCTGGAGTCCCTGTGCAACCTGACTGGGTTACAGGTACTGCCTCATGCTACAGACAGTGAGAAGAACCCTAACCCAAGGCTCAGATCAATGAGGCCTATGATCAATCAGTTTCAAAAATAAACACAAAACCAGTCCTAATTGAAAGAAAACAAGCTGACAAAAAGATTGATACCAATATTAGGTGATAATATTGCATAACAAGAGATTTATAAGCTATTTTTTGTAGGCCGGTCTTTTTTGACCAGGAACACCACAAGTGTAACAAGGTTGAATAAAATAAAAAATGTTTTACGTAAATTAACAATTTTTGCGGTGGAAGTAGTTATGCCCTGTGTGAACAAAGTCAGTAAATCTTAGTCCAATTGGATAACATTAAGTAACATTTTCGGGAGAAAGAAATTTCTCTCTGTGTCAAAATGTCCAGAACACAACATGAGGGTTAAACATAAATATAAACATACAACAATAGAAGTATAAGAAAAACAATTATAAACCTATACAAACAGTTGACCATCTGACTATACATACACTATAAATAGTTGACTATACATTCACATAATCTGAGACTGTATAGTAACTTTACATAAATACTGCACAAGAAAATGTGCAAAAGAAATATTTTAGGGGAAGCAGCGCAGAGTGCAAGATGATTTGCAGTGCAATGCACAAGTAAACATATATTATCATATTGAGTCTTTGTAGCATGGAGTGTTTATAAAAGTGTCTAGTTTACATACAGAGAAAAGGCAAAAATTACTGAGAGTTAGAAAGTGTGAAAGACCCTCAGGAGTGCGGCCAGTGTCCCCCCACCGCTCCATTTATTAGTATGGAGTATCATAGTCAAGAAAGTTTATAATTTGCTTGTGCTCATAAAGAAACAGTCCTCCCAAAAATAAAAATGTACTAACCCCAAGGTAATCCAAGATGTACATGACTTTATTTAAAAATGTAAAAATGGTCTACACTGAGCCCCTATTACTTCATTAAAAGGAGAAAAGTCCTGGAAGAAAGTAATCAGCTGAAGAGAGATCTTGAATGGTTTGGGGCTGAGTAAACTGTCACTGTTCTGAAACACAACACTAGAGCCCGACAGATATGGGTTTTTTGGGGCCGTTACCGATATTAGGGAGTAAAAAAAAAAGGCCGATACCGATATATCGGCCGATATTCTTTGTGTATATTATAGTACAGTACCAGTCAAAAGTTTGGACACTTTCCCATTCGTGTGTCCAAACATTTGACTGGTACTATATATAGAATACAGTATATACATAAACAGAATATAGATACATAAACACATTTTTTGCAATGATCACTCAAATGTGGTGATCAAACACTTATAATGGTGACAGAGATATGTAAGGGAATTTAACAATTTAACAATAAACTTTACTATCCAAAATGAGTCTGACATCAGTGCACTGAACAGTGAAGTTGAAGTTTATTCAACTTTAATTCAATTAAATTCCACACTCTTCCACATTCTTCACACACAGACGAAACTTACTAGAGAAGTGTGAAGTGTGACATAAT